GACAACAAGAGAAGAGAACCCCTTATAAATAGTAACATCCGTTTGAACAAACAGCAAGAGAAGAGAACGTAAAAAAAAAAATAGAAGGAGAAAGTAATAGTACGTGCAAAGGGAAGAGAAAACCGCAGCGTAAGATAATAAAATTATAATAAAATTATGATAAGTGTGCATTTCAAGGTAAGGGGGAGGAGAACCTTGTTTCTTTAAAATTTTATTTACTATTATGTTATTTATTTATGTTATTTTCTTGATACATTTATCTAGTGAGGTGCCCCTAACCTCATTTATTTGCTTATTTTATGCTTATTATTATTCATAATAATTATTAATATGTTCATATTGTTTATTTATTCTGTAATAATTATCATTTTAATTGGTGCTCTTAATATATTTTAATTACGTATATGTTATTTAATTAAAGATTAAATAATGATAAATTCTCAAATTTATTTAGCGTTATTATTTTTAAATTGATTATAATATAATGTTGTTAAAATATATTTGACTCGTTTTAAAAATAAATATTGCTCTATGGCCATAGAAGATAAAGTTTGAATTATTTATAGCTGGAGGTTTGACCTTGGGGATTTAAATGAGTAATCATTCATGGTAAAATATTTTGTTGACATTTGGTTGGTACTACAATAATGCTCATTTATCCTGACTAGTCACTATTAAAATGATTCAAATTTTATTATTTAATTTTTATGTTATTACATATAATCTTGTTCTTTGTTTAATTAAAAATATTTATTTAATAAGTGTTCTCACTCCTTATTTCTTGTTTTGGAAAAATTTAAATTAAATAAATATAGATGGATGTGCCAGCGATCCCTGCTCCTTTTCCTTCAATTATTTCTGCTGTATTTTCCGGGACTACGTGGAGTGTGGATGCGGTGGCAAACGCAGTCACCTTCAATGGAGTAGCAGTGTCAAGCTTTACTTTCTCCCCGAATCAAGAAATTCCTACCGTAATCGATGGTCCTATAATAGTCACCTTCTTTTTACCACCTGCGAACCATGTGAACCCCATCGTGAATCTGTTCCAACCACCTATGTAATTATTATGGAAGTAGAAAAATAAACACTATGATGTGTAAATAAGCTTGAAATAATCTGTATTATATAAGTAAGAAAAGCAACTACGCGCGTTTTTTGAAATATTGTAATGATAAGTACTTATGATATGATATAATGTATAATATTATCATACATGTGTTCTTTTAGCTATATATATATATATATGTATTTATATATATACTATTGAGGTTAATATTAATACTATTAGGCGTTATAGTAGTTAATCATTTACAATTATTCAATTGATTCTCTAAAATTTGTAAAATCATCGAAAGTTGCTATTTTTCTACTGGTCTCAAGTTTTCATAGGCTTAAATTGGGTCCTAAATACAAAAGTTACAAAAAAAAAAAAATCAATGACCCAATTATAGTTTTTTTTTAATTTAGAGACTAAATTAAAAAATATATGAAAAATTCATGGATTTATGATGTATTAAACTTTATTTAAAATAATTAGAAATATTCATTTTACGTAACTAAAATTTAAAATAAATGAATTTTTAAATAAATGAATTATATTTTAATTAAAATGTGTAATGTATAAATACTTTTAACATATAAAACATATTTTGTATTTATTATAAATAATATTATCATAAAAAATCATTTTTAACTATTGATAATTTAAAAATATATTAAAATTTATTTTAAAAATAAAAATGGAAATAAAGAAATAAGAGACTTATAAAAGTCCTTAAACACACTATTGTAAAAAAAAAAAACTCCTTAAAATTACGATTGTCAAAGAAAATTTTCACTCTTATTTAATATGACTATTTTAATTTGTCCACAAAAGATTTTTAAATGATTGATAAATGAACATATTACAGAAAAATAGTATATTTTAGTGTATATATATAACGAATTAGAATAGGCTTTTACGTCCTTATCCATCTCCTTGAATTTTATCGAATAATTATTTGAAGTCTATTTCGATCTAGTTAAGACCCAAAATATATAGTACAAAATTGGGTCAATTTAGTATTTTAACATAATATATCAATATTAATATTATGTATATTTAAACAGTCAAATAAAAAATAAAAATTAAATTAAAGGTATATTTTACAGTATATATCTTAAAATAAATAATATCTTGTTAGACAAAATATAATCTATCAAATAAAATAATTTAATTATTAATATACAATTATTTTTACAAAAATATATATTTTTGAAAGAATGTAACACATTAAATTGTGTTTAAACGACTTGAAAGATAATTTAATCTCATTCTAAAAGATACAGTAAATTTAATTTTAAAATTTAAACTATTCTATAATCTATTTGGATCATGTCAATGAGACTGATGGAGTCTTACTCACTCTTAATATATAAATCAATTTTAATTTTAAGACTCGTAAATTAAGTGAACAAATCAGTAATTTGCTTTTTAAAAAAAATTATTCTTTATCACATAATTTATTTCCTGCCTTTGAGTCATATTTATGAGTGTAAAATTATTTTTTATTCATACTTTACATTTTAGCATAAAAATATAAATTAAATAATAAATAAATAAACTTAATAATATGTAAAAAAAAATATAGTAGAAAAATTACACTGAACATCATAAACAAATTATATAAGTTAAATTAAAACTTTATATCTTTTAAGAAAAATAATTTTAAACTTTAAATTTGCTTGCTCTAAATAATTTATTTAAATTTATTTCGATCAAAAGTTGTCAAAGTTTTGATCACGTCGTTAGAATCATTATATCTAAGGGTTGTCCACGTTTTTTCATTAGAAAGGCATCTCATGAAGTTAAAAAAAAAAATATTATAAATTATTTTTAATTTTAATTTTTAAACTATGTGAGACTTTTTAAACACATTGAAACTGAATAATATTTTAGTTTAATTTGTTTTTCATATGTACTACGTCTAGAGTTCAAGGTATTGAACTTGAATTGTTTATACCCCTATACAATGTTTCCATTATCTTCTCAAGGTTGCAAATAGAGGGAAAGGGTTATTCAAGGTAAATGTGCCAAAAAATAATTCATTAAAATACGTTATAATAACAATAATAACTCAATAAATGTAATTGAAATATATAGAAACAATACAATATCGTCTCTTGTTTTTATTAATGGAAACTTACTTTTTCATCTATAGGATCTAGCAACTATTTAGAAGTGTTTAAATCGTAATATAAATAGTACAAAATTTCTTCATATATTACTCTTATTTGAAATAGGAAAATAATTTGTAACAACAAGAACACTAGATGTTCAAGTGAAGAACTTTGTCAGCAAAAATTGCTACAATAACTGGACCAGACAAATCACCTATGGCACAACCTGAAAATAATAAAGAATATAGAGTAAAAAAAAAAAAATAAGAAAAAACCAGCTTTGCATGATTCAATCAAAGGTATCAACTACACACTCAATCTCTTCAACACATTTTTTTTCTTATTAATTTAAATTCGTAAGTTTTACTAGTTTAGAAATGAAATTAACCAAATAAAAAATGAGACCCAAAATGTACATTAGAACAAACATAAATTTTACCATATAAAATATGGTGTGTCTAGAAAAGAATATCAGGGCATTTTTTTGTTTTTATTCTTTTTTTTTCATTTTTAATTTAGAAAACTGACAAATTGTTTTCAATGTTTTACTTGTTCTCAAAGATTTGTACAAAAGCAAAGATAAAAAAAAATTGTTTTCTTTGTTTCTTATACAAATATGTGAAAACCAAATTAAAAAAAAAATGTGACAATTTTGTAGATTAAGATTAAAAATAAGAAATAATTAAAAATAAAAGTAAAAAGACCTTAAATGGTGTCATACTAACATTTATGTAAGAGTAATTAATAACAACGTGACAATATTTGCATGCAATATTCATATTCTTACCAATCCACTGGCCAACTGATGGACGACAAAGAGAAGCCCCAATCCCTGCCCCAATAGAGGCAAAAATTAGAGATGCATTGCACCTAACTGTAGCCATGAAAACCTTTTGTCTAAGAAGTCTCATTCTCACAACTTTGTTAATATTATTATTCTCATTCTTTAACTTTGACTTAAAGAATTGAAATAATCCAATGCCTACTTGGACCAGCCATGATGCTCCAACTCCAAGCATGTACCCTATACACAAATATTAGCACAAGATAGATTAATTCAACAGCTCATTAATCAACCTTGTAATGAACATAAAATTGACTAATTGCTTTAACCTCTGAATGTTGTTTTGCACACAGAGTAAAAGTAAACTAAAGTAGGCATTTTCCTTCCAGCCTTGCGAACAACTGATTGAGGAACATCTGTTAAAGACATCACATAAATATAATGGGTATGAGATTTATAAAAAATGTCATCAAACAATCATAATATTTGCTTTTATTGTGTTTATTTTTGGTCATTTAATATAATTAATTTTGAATTCAGAAACAATTTGGAAAAATAAAATAAGATAACACACCTTTAATTAGTTTCCATGCCATTCTTCTTGAAACATAATGGACAACAATTCTTTCTAAAATGCGTCTAGTTGTCACCACAGTAACCTATAATGAAATTGAAACAAGTCAACTATGCTAATATTCAAACATTGGTAAATAAAAGTAGAAACAAAATATAAGATTTCACAGTAAAGTAGAAGTTATCGAAAATGTATATTTTTCACTTGGGCACTTTGGTAATTTCCTAATAGAAAAATTTCAAGAACCAATAAAATGATTAATGGATCTCTAATGAAAAGTTCCTTATGGAATAAAAAATATAAATAATTTATATGGAGAGAACTAATTAAATTGGTGTTACTTCTTATTAATTCAAAATGAATGAACTAAATTGCCCTCTTTGGTGTTTATGCCACATTAGTATGGAAAATTAAAAAAAAAAACACACACACACACACAGGCACATGTATATGAGCTTTTTTAAAAATAAATAATAATTTGACAGTCTAACATGATTTTGTGATGGTAATAGTGTTATAAATAGAATTTTATTGCAAATTACAAATATTAATGGAAGTTCCACATTTTATTAAATATTGCATGCTATGACTTTGAACCAATGATGAGAGACATAAGATAAGGCTCACCTCGCGGATGATTTGCAGTATTGACTTTTTGAAGGGAACACTTAGTTTGCCACAAAGTTCACCTTGTTTGTCCTGTAGAAACTCAACATCATCTTGTTCCATCTTTGCATGAGGCTCCATAAGAGGCAAATAAAACATCAGAAATGACCTCAATGTGATCATTGCAAATGACTTTAGTTCAAAAGCAGAAAATAATGGTTTAGGCTCAATGTTGTAGTGCTTGGTACTATATTTTAGAGAATCATGATAAAAATATTTCCCTGGTACATTTCCTATACTAGGAACATAATCTTCAGAAATTGTTGCTCCAGCATCACAATAAGCAGTTGGTATCCTAAAATGAAAGTTTTGCAGCAAAAATGTCAATATAACTCAATGTTCAAAAAAGTAAAACATGCAAGGAAACAAGTATGGAAAATGCATAATCCAAATGAGGAACATATTTGACATTCTTTATTCTGATCTCTTTATATTTTAGTCAACAATGCATATTTTGTAGACTTTGTAAAATAATGTTCATTGTTCAATGATGCATTCTTAATACTATGAACCCTTCACTAGAACCTCAACATTATAGCAAATATTGCATACGTAACTCATTTACAAAAGAAAAAAAGAATGTTTAATGGAAGAATGCAAAGAAAGGATAAAAATTATAACTATTTACCATCCTAATCAAATTCAAAAATAGTTCATATTAGACTTAAATTTCTTTTATGATTGAAATTGTCAAAATTTGCTTTCAGTCCCTATATTTTTTATGATCTTTATAATATTCAAACTTTTTATTTTGAGTTTTAGTGTTAGTCTCTATTAAACATTTATGTGGCTTCATTTGGTGCTACCATGTGGTAACACCTTATGGATTTGTATAAACATTCTTATAAAAGAGGAAAAAAGTAAAAATTTAAATATTATAAAGTCATAAATAAATAAAAACTACTTAACCTAAAAACAACAATATTTATGTGACAAACGACATATTTAAACTTTTTTTTTATTGATTGAGATGCCTCCTTGTTAAATCCAAGCAAGACACATCAACGATTGAAATAAAATGCTAATGTTATACAAAGATTAAATTGTGCAGAGAAAAACTAGTGAAGGATCATACCCAAAGAAATCCTTTGAGGCAAAAGATGTGGTGGCAGCAAAGGAGGCAATGGTGCAAGATGTAGTAAAAAAGGAAGGGGATTGATAGGACCGTGCTGTGTTGAAGCTTTGGTTTTTCCTCCATAGATCTAATAGTAAAGTTATACCCGCCATCGTAGCACCTTAAATGTTACAACACTATTCAGCAAGTGATAAAACCATTTCCTTAAACATCAGTAACTATGATACATTAATGAAAAAATCTACAAAACAAAGACCACATAGTTGGCAGTGGCAAAACCAAGGTTTTAAAAATTAGTTTGCAATCACAATTTTTATCATGATCTCAAGGTTTTTTTAGGGGTCTACGACCACAATGCAACCATAATTGTATTTGCATCGACTGCATTTGTTTACAATTTTTCGTAATATCTAAAAATGCTACAAAGATGCAATCATGACTGTAATTTACAATCTTGGGCAAAACTATTGGCATTTCAAGTTTTAATATATTTGATTTAGTTCTGATGTATGTATTCATTTGAGTTTCACATGCATTGAAAAGATCTTCACATCTTAGAATTAAAAATATTGTATACAACCCAAAATCCCAAATAACTGTGAGGATTGAATTATATGTGAACAAATTCGAAAAACAAAAACATTAGGATACCTTGGCGCAAGGTTTGAGACGCAAATGGGAGGATACTAATGCCAAATTTTTTTTAAAAGAAATGTGAGAGGTTAACCAAGAGAAAGTTGGAACAAGTAATAGTTGAGGCAGGAAAGGAGGAGATAGGAACAGAGATAACAAAACAGTTAACAAATGTGTTTGATATGCATGGAGGACTATTTTTGCGGCAATTTGGATCTGTGATCTGTCTCTCCGACTTATACGAGGTCTTGTTCTTTGTTACTTTTCATTGGTAATTACTTTTTCTTTTCTTTTCTAGACTACAATTTAAGGTGAAATATAAAGATATAGAGGAATATCATGTTTTCATAATTATAAATCTACACTTCATCATTTGTCTTAACAAATGCATTCCTGTTCGCATACAACAAAACTGTGTTTTTAGTATTTTCTATCTATTACAATTGAAGTTTTACATTAATAACTTCAGCCATTGTTTAATATAATTTCTTATTACACTAATTATCGAATAAAATTCTAATTGTGAAATGAAAATAGTACAAAAAATACCTAAAATATATTACATCTAAATTTTGTCCCTAACTTTATGTTATCTTAATGATACTTATACACTATTGATAAATACCTTATTTCTTTTTTACTTGATATCAAAAATAAGGTTGGCCATATTTTCTTTCCAAAAACTTTAGTGAGCACAAGATTTTTTTATTTTTTTATTTTTTTTTATAATCTTACTTCAACTAGTTCACGAAAAACCTATAAACGTGACATGCATAATTATGTATAAGTTTGTAGCCTCTATGTCCTCAACTGATGTGTATGCTCAAATGGATTCAAATATAACACGAGACTTGTTAGATATGATAATAGAATCATCTTTAATTTAAGATTCTAAAAATAAATCACGCATAACCTTTTGATTTTATTTATTTATTTTATTAAATCAAGCAAATATTTGTACAAACTTCTATATTGAGTATTATTAAGAGAAGAAAATAAAAAGTCAAATAAATATCATTATACACTAATTTATAAAAACTTTCTCAAATTGACTTCTTCAAAATATATTTTTAACTTATAAAGAATTTTATTTTATTTTTCTTTCTTTTAATTTCATTATTTTTTTCATATTTAAACAAAATCAAGATGTTAACTGCTTTAAACAAAATCATAAAACACTCATTTAAGCTTTGTTTATAAAAAATTATAAACAATTTATTTTATCTTATCTTTATTAGAATAGATGAGTTAATTTAAGAGGGGTGAATTGAATTTTTCTTAATATATAGTTTCTTTAGATCTTTAAAACTTTTTCTCAAACCATTATTTTAAATGCATGTCTCAAGTAATTGATCACAATACACAAACATTTAGTTAAAGATCAATTCTTTCAGATTATTTTATGCAAACTAACTTATATATTAATGCCAAAAATTAAAAGATATAAATATATGAAGAAAAGATATATATTAAAAGGGGATCGAATAGTGTGTATCAAAATTCACATGATTTTCGTAGTGAAGTAATAACTCTAGTTAGATAAAGCGCGAATAGTAATAAGATGGAACATTGTATATTTTTATACTGATTTATATCAATCACCGAAACTACGACCAATTCCCAATCTAATCAGATTGAGTTTCACTATCTTTAAACAAAGATATAAGTATTCTTTAAACAAGTCACTTTTGACTCAACCTTAAGTATTTTTTGATTTTTTCCTTCAAACAATTACCCAAATATTCTTTTAACAACAAGTCTATCTAAGCTTAGCAACGAAGTATTCTTTTGCAATTAAGTATCTTTAAGCTCAAAACAAGTATTCTTTTTCAAAACAAGTCTCTTTAGGCCCAACCTTGTAATAATGATTATGAAGGTTACACAATGTTATATTTGTCTCACTTAGATGTTATATAACCAATACAGAGCAATGAATATTTACAAGAAAGAATAGATTTACAAAAGTATGTTTTTGTACAAATGTATATGTATGTTTGTTCTCTTGTATATAGCGCATCTGTATCTTTCTTGAATTTTAAATCTTCTTATATAATAGCTCAAAAAAGATGATTGTTACAACATTTTAAGTACAACTCACAAGTTTATTTCGTCTGTCTTTATTGTCTTTCCTTATGATGATAGTTAATCATTCGACTCATTTAATGCAAACATTAAATGTATTTTACCAAATGGTATCTCTTATCCGATCAAAAATGCTACTTATTATTTTTTCATATCAAAAGCTTATAAAAGTAATGTCAGTGCAGTGCAATAATAATAGTGACTTTATATATTTTTCTTTGTGATTTTAGGGATTTTCATCCTTAATCATAATGAAAAGTATGATCTTGTTCTCTTTAACAGATTTATGAGTTCTAAGATAATATCATAATTCGATTTATTAAGAAATAAAACATTCAATAAGTTTTTGTCATTAATCTCAATAAATATTTCGAATATATATTTTTGAAGACGTTTTAGAAGATATTTTTTTTATAAAAATATTTTGTTACTGAAGAGATTTAAGATCTTTTTTGACTTAATAAAAAAAATATAAATAATTTATATTGATTAATCTCAACCTTAAAAAACTCCATCTAGTTGTTAGCACCCATCGAGAATTTTCATTAAAAATATCAATTTCTTTACGTTCAATCAACACTAGACTAATAACAAAAATTCTTCCAAACATAATTTTTTTTTATTGTTCTCTCAATTGAAACCCTATTTTCATGAGTGATCAATTCTCCGAGAAACCATATCTCAAAAGATTACAATCCTATACGAAGGGCAAAATGGAAATAAATCACTTGATTGTGTACTTTTTCAACAATTAAGCACTTCTAGCTTTCACCTTCGTAGACAATTTGATTTTTGTACGAAGGTAGATAATGATCATTCTTGAAACTACAAAAAATGCTTCTCTTTGAGCACAAAATGTCACTCGGTTAAATGCTTGGATGGTTTTAAGGAAAATAAAAAATTTATATTTATAATAAAACATTTTAATGTTAGAGTAATCGATTAAAACGATCATCTATAACTTTAAAAACTTATTTTGTACACAAACTATAATCGATTAATTCAACTTTTAATCAATAAAAAAGAGAGATGTTTTCAACCATGCAAGTCAATTTATCGATTAAAACAAAATCGTAAATGATTAAACTATTTTCTAGAATTAGTTAAAGAACTCTCAATTGAATGTAATCCATTAAACAGTATTCTAATCGATTAAAACAAAACAAGATGTATGGAATTGATTAAACTCTCTTTTAAAACCAAAATTAATGATTTTTATATTTAAAAAAACCATTTTAGCCAATATAATCAATTACACAAACAAATTAATCAGTTATTGATCTGTTTTAGTTTTTGATTTTAACAATATAAAAATGATTACTTCTTATGTTCTTGATTCCTTTTAAACTTATAAAATCATCTTATCACTTTAATTTCACTAAGAAACTTGGTAGATTTTCTTTAATCCTTTTTTAAGACACACTATTGTTTCGTAAGAGACTTATTAACAAACCTAAGACACGAATAAAGTAAAAGTATATGACCATGATAAAAGGTAGATCTCTAATTCTTCATGTAATCTTCAGCTTATGCCTTTATGATCAAGTTTATTAAATCTTATGTTATACGTGATTATGAGAGTATTTGGGAGATTTTATGAAAATATCTAATAATTAGTCTATAAAATGTTTTTAACTTATTTTTTTTTTTTATATAAGTTTTCCGATATAGCTTATAAGAATAACTTATGTGAAACTTATAAAAAGACTCACCTTCAAATCCTCACAAGGTCAAAAATAAAAAATGTCTATTTTTTTTTATTTCTTTCTCCAAATTAAATATATGCATTTTCTTTTCCTTACCCAAATCAATATAAATATTAAATTTTACAAACAATAATTAAAATTATGTGTTGTAGTAATTTGACTTGGTGGGATGTTAAAATCTAGCCCCTAAATAAATTTTGAGCATAATATTTTTTTTATAAAAATAATCCAGTATTGATTATTGTTAGGATTATTTTAGAAATAAAAATTAAGTTTAGATTAAGATAAATACCAATCTCTTTGAGAATTTTTAATAAAATTATGAATCATTTAATTCATTTTCAATACAAGTTTGTATGAAAGAATATAAAATATGAAAGAAATCAAATTTTAGTTTAAAGAAATAAAAAATGTTAACTAGTTTTGCAAAGCATTAATTTAATAAATGTATATTTGTAGATATTTATTTATTTATTTATTTTATCTATCATAATGATAAAAATTAAGTTTAAACTTGAGATATTTCTTACGGAAATCTGTCTGTCACTAATCTGATCTTAAGGATTTTTTATTTTTTATTTTCATTTTTTTAACATTTTTTTTGCTCATTTAAATCTCAGCCGTTGATTTCCTTCAGTCCACGTGTCTGGCTGGCTGAGTCCGAAAGAATTGCAAATCTCCATTTTTTCTCTGAACCGCAGAGGATCTTCACGCGAAATTACCATAGTAGCCCCCAAACCAAACCATTGATTCACACACTCTCCATTTCCCTACTCCAGCAGCTTCCAAAACCCAAAACAAAAACCTCACCTCTCCGAAAATAACACAGTAATGAAAATGTTGCGGTGGTCCCTTGCACGAGCTGCAGCAACCCATTCTCACAAAAATTACTCTTCTAAGGCCCCAAAGCCCACAACACCCTTCAAGCCCGATCCCAAAAAAGCCGCCGCCGCCGCCGCCGCCCTAATCGACGAACAGGAGCGTCTCCGGCAACTTGCCGCTGACGATAACAACCCGTCTCTCGATGTGGGGCCCAATGGCCGCCCTCTGTTCACCTCCGCACCTTCCCTCTCCCACCTCTCCCGCAACGACGTCTGCACATACTTCAAGCTCACGTACGCGCTCCCTCTCTGTTTCGTTTTTCGTTGTGGCATTTTGTCGAACACTTTGAGTGCGTCTTTGGGTTTGATGATTTTTCTGGATTTTGCGTTCGTGGGTCGGTTTGGTTTTGCAGGAAGGATGCCCTGAACGCGGCTTTGCCCGAGGGGTTGCCGGTGGGTATGGTGAACGAGTTTCAGGACTCCATGCGAACGGCTTTGATTGTTCGCCAGAGCTTCTTGGATCTTCGTGATAACTTCAGGCGCGTGATTGATCCACCAATGTGGTCCTCTAATGCCAAAGGTGCGGTCTTTGTGTTGTTTTTTTTATATCCCCAGATGGTTGATCCTTTTAAAATCCTTGACATTTTTTTTGGGTGATTTTCGGTGTTTCTTAAGTAGTGCATCTCTGGGGCTCAAATGAATTCAGGTTTATTTAATTTTTAATTTAATTAAAATGCACTAAAAGTATATATATTTTACATTTTGAATCCAATTACATATTGCTATGTATGGCAAGCAAGTTAGTTTTTATAGTAGTTTTCTTAAAAGTCGTAGCTAAATGTAAAAGGATATCTTTGGTTAGTTGAGACTTAAGAGTGTAAAAATTGTAACACTGAAATTGCATGGATTTTTTTTTTCTTGTCAGGAGTTAAAGTTAGGAAGCAAGTTCTGTTAGATGGCCCTGTTAGCTGTGGGAAGAGCATTGCGCTTGCGATGCTTGTTCAGTGGGCCCGAGAAGAAGGTTGGCTGGTTCTCTATGTTCCTAAAGGCAAGGAATGGACTCATGGAGGATTCTTTTACAAGCATCCTCTAACTGGTCTATGGGATACACCTGTCCAGGCTGAGAATGTTCTCAAGGCAAGCCTGGAAATTTCAATATTACACTGTTTTACTTTACTTGTATTGTGTGTTTGCTTTTTTAACTTGGGCAGGATATGTTAAACTCATTTTTCTGCGACCAGGCTAGTTTTTAGAATAAAAAATAATGCATTGAAACAATGTTTTTCTTTATGATTACTTTAGCCACAATAATTCAGTTTATATAAGCCTGTAGGATGGTAGTGAAACTGTATGTGTTAATACTTAGCATGGCTCAGTGAAAAAAAAAAAAAAAGAAGTTAAACCAAACATTCGCTTAATCCTTTAGAATTGTTTTTCCCATTATTATCAGTCAATGTTAAGCAAATATATCAGATAAGAACCTTGGGAGAACCACACTACAAAAGCTAGCTTTTGTAGTTGGAGAACCCAAGGCCTTATAAACCCTACACTATAATCCCATACTTTGGGCCTATTAGTTTCTGCCCAAAAATGGGCCTATCATTTATTTGTACTAGTTGTTTTGTCCGAGCAGCAGTTTGTAGCAAACAGGAAAACAAAATGTCACTTTGGCGGCAAATCAGTGGAGTATGTTGGTGTTTATGCTCTTGCTGCACATGTGCAACAAGAAGGTGAAGATGTGCTGGTCGGATTTGAGGAAATGGTGTTGCATCAAGGAGTAGAGAGTGAGGGAGAGAGACGATGATGACTGATTAGTTTGCTTTGGCTTGGAAGTAAATGACAGTTGAAGGCCAAGACCGTTGGGAACAGTGGTTGCCTTCATGTGTCTATTGGGAACCTATGCGATTATGCAACTGCTTGTATTCGCCTAGTTGACCTGGCCGTTTTCCTACAACTATAAGTAGAATGTTATCAATTCTTACTTCTTAGAGATGTATTATTTTTATGAATTTTTAGTGAATAAGCAAAGAATGAGTATTCCTTTTTGTCCTTTTTTCATTTCTTATCTGCTTTCTTGCTCTTTCTTTCTTTTCCTGCATACTTTCATAGCATATTTGTTTTAACTTACTTTATGGTTTTGCATTTTTTTTTATATATATTATTGTAGCCATGAATATGCAGGCTAGAGAAGTGAATATCCACATTATCAGGGAATAATAATTTTGGGTACTACAGCTACCCATTTCTGCTGTCTCAGCACATTGTGTAAAGATAGATGGATGTTTGATAAAAAAAATTGAGAAAAAAGGAAAATTTTGTTTTCTTCCTTATTTGTTTATTTTGATTTTGGTTGCCCACTTCTATTCTAGATACTAATGATAATTATGATTAGTTTACTATTTTGTTTTTGGCTTCCTGGATTGATTACCCTGAGTTATGTAGTTATGTATGGGTCATTTATTTTCAGGATTTTTTGAAGTACAATGAATCCTACCTAAAGGAACTGCCATGCCAAATATTTGATCCAATACCATTAGGTGAGGGTGCTGGTGTTGGATGGTTGAAAGATGCTGATTCCTTGGCAATACCTGAAGGTACAAGTTTATACGAGCTGGTGAAGACTGGTATTGAGCAGACACATGCAGCTGTTGGAGTGGTAGTTCGTTTGAGGAAAGAGTTATCACTTGTTAAAGACTTGCCTGTTCTTATTGCAGTAGATCAAGTGAGAAGCTTATTTCTTGATGTTAAAAACTTAAAATCATGCTCATTCTTTGAAATTATTTGTTCTCAAATTGGTTTACCATGGTATGCTATATTTTGATTGTCTTATTTTCTGTGGCTGCCTGTCTCCAGTATAATAACTGGTTTACGTTCAGTGAATATGAGGAGCCTGTCACAATCCGTTCTTGCCGGCCAATACATGCTAGAGAGCTTACAATGGTTGGTACATTGCTTTTTTTTAATTTTTTAATTTTAGAACAATGTCAGCAATATATTGCATTATGGATTATATTTCTTCTGGAAACATGTTATTTTTCATGCATTTTTATTTTGTTGCTGTAAGTTTACTTTGGAAATTTGGTCATCCTTTTATAATGGGATGGGAAAGAGAGTTTTAATTTCTGGCATTTGTGCAATTAGGCTTTTGTGCAAAATGATTGGATGCCTCCATCGTACTATTGCAGGTGAAGGCTTTTAGATCGATGAAGCATGATGATATGATGGTAGGGGCCTTTTCTCATTCAACAGCAGTAGGAAAACTTCGTAGAGACTTACCAGATGTTCCAGTAGATGCTCGTGTTATGTTTCCTCGATACAATTTAGATGAAGCGGAGGCTGTTTGCCATTATTATTTAAGGTATGCTTTACACAGTCATACAGTCTAATTTCGTGGTTGATGACATTGTCTACTTTTATATCCAATAAATTATTCTTTCATTGAATTTTCTTAAGTTCTATTTGAAATGTATCATTGTTTAGGCTTTTCCCATATTCAGGTTACATTAATAATTTTGTTAAAATAAAAAAGATACATTGTAGATTAATCGTCCGTAAGCAGAAGTATTATTGTCAATCATCTGTTGGTTGTTGATAAAGCAATTTGTATAACATTTAGCCTTTACCTTGTTTCGGTTGTTACTTGAATGCAAACAAATTCCATTGCATGCAATTGTGCTTTACATTGTTGAAACTGTTATGTTTTCATTTTTGACAGGCAAAGGCTAATCCGTCGTGAAGCATTCTCTGAAGAAAACTGGAAGAAAATTTACTTCCTATGCAATGGAAATGGAACAGAGATTAGGGGTTTGGTTCCTTTCATGCGATGACAGACAACAGATGCATTATTTTTTCACCAGTGAGATGTGTTACGATTGTTGTTTTTAATAATATAATGTTTCCCATTTTCTTCATCACAGGATCAAATGGATTGCTGTTTGCACGATCCACTTCAATCCTTTTAATTTTTTTTTCTAACAATTGTTCTCAAAGGCAATGTACTATTATGTATATTAACATGCATTTTACAGTTTTAGAATCAGTAATTATTTCCTTGACTTTACGTAAATAAACATTATACATATACTAACGACACTCGTTGAACAAATCCAAGGCATTTTGCATTTTTTCTCTCCCAATTGTACAAGCACCGTTGAACAAACCAAGTATGAGAAGATGGAAGGAAAGAGATGAATATTTACACATTAAAATGTTAAATGATCATGCATTCATATTTTCTATTGTATCATATTTTCTGTCAAATAAAAATATATCTTGGAAACCCAATATATACGACGTCGGCAATTAGAAATTTAATCTTTAACATGTATAAAGGATGATTTGGTGTACATATTCTTTTAGATGATTTTATTTTTAAATTTTTAAATAATAAAAAATAATATTAAAAATTAATCATTTTTAAAATATGAATTCAAAATTTTAATATTAAATAATTTTGATATAACAAATATTAATAATTTTAAATATTTTTATTAAATAAAATATAAAAAGATTTAAATATATTTTTAGTCTCTCAAATTTAGGGTAAATATATTTTTGGTCCCTCAAATTTAAAATTATTATTTTTAGTCCTTATAATTTCAAAAAAAATTTATTTTAGTTTTTATATTCAAATTTTGTTAAGAAATTTATTCAACATTATTGTATAAAATCTACTTATTGGTGTCTCTATTAGTGAAAATATTACATTAAATTCGGTTCATATTGAATAGCTGTCTTAATTAGTCATTTTCAAATATATTATTGATAACCTAAGAGATTAAAATAATATTTTTGAAAATTATAGGAACTAAAAATAACAGTTTTAAATTTAAAGGATCAAAAATAAATTTATCTTAAATTTGAGGAACTAAAAACATATTTAAACCATATAAAAACATAAAATATTTTGATTTTACTAATTGTTACTAATAAATATTCTATGAAGTATAAAACTATTCACATAATATATCTTAAGCTTGATGAATGTAGGATGGTTCATTTTACTTGAAAAAAAAGGGTAATTAGCTGAATACAAGAACATTAATCTTGGAGTTGGAAGATAAAAAAGAAAAGGGCTAGTTAAAAAGAAGTCAATTTTACATTTAATCTGGCATTTACTCATTGCTAGATGCTACTTTCATCACCACTCATAAGCTTGAGGGCCTCCATCTCCTCCTTGAACTTGGGCATCGAAGCTTTGGGGAGGGAAACAAAGACCCTAACTCCTCCTTTCATTGAAGAATCCAAGTTACTAGGAGGCAAGAAAAGGCACAAGTCCACATAGCCAAACATGTTCCATGGAACTGGTACTATATTCACAGAACGCTTCCATCCAAAATCCACTTCTTCCAACAAACTCAGCTGCCTCCAATCTGTTAACACCACAGAGGCACATGTTCCTTCAATCCTAATGTTCCTTTCTCTCATTGTCTCCAACATGTTTATTGAGTTTCTGATGTACTCATTAGAAGGAAGCTTTTTGCTCTCTTTAATGAGCTTCACAACCTCCGAGAGTGGTCTTTCATCAAGTTCTTTCATTGTTTGCACCACAGCTGAACCCACAAAAGCATTACCATAATACCCTTCAGGCAAAGGTGGATCCAATATGCGTCTCACCCCTACTGTTAAACACAATAAAGTTTTCCCATCAGAGTTCAATTCCAAAGCTCTTGCCCTAGACCTCCAAACATAGGCACCAAGTGCTTCAACAGTTGTGAAGCTTTCCTTCACATCATCACTTTCCTTCATCAGTTCCATCTTGAGTCTCTGTATGCTCTTACCGTTCAAGTTAAAGCATTCATGTGAAATCTCCTTAGTTGGCCAAAATGGTGAAAAAGCCCTTGAAGTCTCATCTATGGGAAATTCGAGTGGCTCTTTGAGAAGTGTCCCCATTAGCCTTTCTCTTTCCCACACAGGTTTCACCGAGGGCTCACTTTTCCCACATGCAAGTTCAGCCAAGGCTCTGAAGAATTGAGATGCACCAAACCCATCACAAACACTGTGTGATAAGCCCATTCCAATGGTGAAACCCCCACAGAGAAACTTGGTCACCTTGAAAGCCAACGGGTGGTGACTAGTCTCATCTTGAGAAGGGTTATGATCAAACACTAATTTCTGTGCCGTTGGAACATCAATCCCTTCAAGATAGTGAAGAGAAGAGAGTTCACAGTTAGCAGTTGCCTCCAAGAATGGAACTCCATCAGCATTGCAGTTGATTCCAAGTTTTCCATCATCCACCAATGTTACTATCTTCCCTGCAAGAGGGTAATAGTAAACCAAAGCCTTTGAGAGGGCTTCTTTTATCACATGAGAAGGGTCTAGTTGGCCATTCGGAGAATCATGATTTGCTTGGTATACATAAATGGTATGACACAGAATGTTGAGAACTGGATCACTGTCAATGGTGGACAGTGAAAGAACTAAAGATGGTGTGGGCTTGGAGGGTTTAACTATCACAACATCCTTCATTTCAAGGACAAGGGGTGTCTTTAGATTTGCCATGAAATTTGATGTGTAAAGAGTAGAGATGTGAGGATATGAGAATATGTATTAAGTGAGAGTGAGATGAGATGAATATGTTTCATATATGTGTGTATATATACAGAAATAATTGTGTAACATTCCTTTGGTCTTATCCATCCATTATGAAATCGGAATCATTACACTCCCAACTCAAGAAGTGGGATATGTTGAAGAATTTGACACAAATGGAATTGGAAAGTGACACCTTGATTAGGAGGGAAACAAGATTTGAAAAATGTAGCTTACAATTATATTACCAACTTCGGTGCTCCTATGGCATACGGAAATTTGTAAGAATGTTGTTCGCTAAAACTAATGAAGATTTGTTTGGAACTTTACGATAAAATAAAATAAGATCTGCATGGTTGCGTGTGGTTGTAAAGTATCATTTTTATGCAAGTGAAATGATTACTCAAATTATTCCTACATATCTCTATCGTCATCATCTTTTGTTGATAACTAGACACATATATACTTGTGGGAATGTTAAAGAGTCCTGTGATGAGTAGAATAAAAAATTTAATGTCGTATTTAAGCATCATAACTCTCACTAATTGATTAGTCTTTAGAGTTAGACTTTCTTCCTGTGCTCAAATTCTAATAATAAGTTCAGAAATAACGAGTCAATGCTGGGGACGCTTGAGAACAGCACTAGTAGCTGGATAATATATATCTTCTGTGGTGGACAACTCCAATTGTGAGTGGAAATCCAAGATACGTGAATGTGAGAAGATAACTCCTGGATCGCACTAAATAAAGTTATTGTGCATGTTGCACACCAAGAAATCACACGGAAACTAGTGAGTTCTTGACACTTGAGTTAATAATCTCAAAGGGTTTTCTGAGAGAGGGTGATATAGTGTACAAGAACATGTACGCACTATGGAGTCATAATAGAATTCTTTTTTGAATAACTTGACATTGGTAGTTGACGAATGATTCTAATGCAAGTAATAAGTCACATGCCATGTGCTTCGTGGAATACAGCCATATGTGTGTAAATGGTATTTTGTAAGAGACTAGAGTATGAGAAATTAAGAATGAATCTTGACAATGTATAATTGTATGGTTATGAAGGTTAACTCATCTAATTAATTATCTCATTAGATGACCTTATATACAGACACAAGAAGTGTGTCAAGAAAGACATAAGACTAAGTGTAAAGTAAAACAATCTTTGACCGTACTCATATTGTATATGATTAATATCAACTCATTATATATAATATAAAATATATCAAAACCACCAAACACGTAGATCAATTGGTCTATGAAATGAATCTAGTTTAACCAATAATTCTGAATTCAAGTCTAGGGTATGCATGAATTTATTTATATGACTGACTTGTCTTAATTTATATTCTCATATTCATGGACCTAGAAAGCAAATGTTTAAGCATATACTTTAGAAATATGATTTTCTGTCCAGTATACCACAATGTTGGTTGAAAAACATACTAGCATGATAAGGTTGTTTGTAAAGGTGTAGCTAGTGATAAATAAAGGGAGAGTAGCGCGTCAAAGTGTCAACAGACAACAGGTGTTATGAAAGTGCCTATCATTGTCAATCCTTATTTTGAAGTTGACGTTCTTTACGCGGAAAAAAAATTAGGGTTTGGTGTATGTTTGGTTTAGTGAACTGATGAACATTGAACCGGTTCGAGTGGAAAATTACCATTTCTATGGTCTAACCGAAGAACTGGCCAGTTCATAAAATAGGCTATATTATTTGTTTTCAATCCAACTGATGAGTCTGAGTCAGTTTTGATAACACTAGTTGAGTGTAACAAAAAGGCTAATATCCTACAATGCAGTGAATTAAGGTTCCAATTCTATTGAGAAATTTTTCTACATTTAATGTCACTGTATCAAACATGATTGCCTAAAAAAAAATACATGTAAAAAAGAAGAAGAATAAATTGAAACTCTAGTTCTACTGAGTCTGGGATGGGCATGTTCCTCTCTAGTTGAAGATGACTAGATGAGGTTGTTGCTGTCATTCAAACAAGTCAGATCCAAACATCAAAGATGTTCCAATAAATAGTTGAAGTTTCCATTATGTATTGGTAAATGTTTACCAGTAATGTTATTAGTTCTGGTTGATACATAACCAAAGCATTCAAGTGAAAAATGTTCTCCCAAAAAGATCCTACCCCCTTTTTTCGGCAGTAGTTTTTCAATATCGACCACTAAACCATTATGCCACGGTAATGGGGATGTTGAGATAAGTTTAGTTACTAAAAACTAACCATAAAAATCAGTTATATTGAGCATGATCCCCACAAGTTACTCTGTCACATGCACACGACGTAAACTGGGTACATTATTATTAAGAAAAATCTTATTTAAAATATATTTATTGTATCAAATTTTGATATTGGTTAGTATAAAGATTTTTACACTGTTTAACTAATATAAGGCGACTTAAAATAATTATAAAAAACAATAAGTTTATCATATGATAATTCATGATTAGATTTAAAAAAAATTATACTGTTAGCATATTTTAATTAAATTTAAAAATTATTTATTACCTATTCTTCACTTATATGGTATCAATATCAACTAACAAGCACAACCTTTTGAGCCTTGGACATATCAACATAAGCTATCAGAACAGTAACAACAATTTTGGTTTGCCAGTTGCACGTGAAGTAGGAATAAATGTCAACCAAAAGTTCAATTCATGTATGAGATAAGCATATTACAAATATGCAAACAGAGAGAACCTAAAGACAAATTACATTAATAACATTCATTAGTTGTCATCTCTTTTATCTCAATAATGAAATGAAATTCGAGAATGATTCATCCAACCATTGTCCTCTTTCGTCCTCTTTGTCTCACTACAAGTTGTTAATACGTATGGAAGTAAGAACAATGTCTTGAAGAAAATATGTCAAATTTAAACAAGTATAAGAGGGAGGGTATAACCTTGTGCTAGCTTGTTCAATGTGGAAGACCACTGCTTTGATGACTTCTTGTAAGCAGCAAGTATCTGATCCATCTATGCATACAAAATCCAATATTGAAAAATGTCAGTCAATTGATTATTTGTTTATAACTTGTGCTTGTCTGAGTAGAAAGCATATTATGGAAGACTAAGGTTGAACTAAAATGTGAACTCATGCAGCATGGATATCTGGGTAGTTTAGTAAATACCTGTTTGAATAAACTTTTCAAAAAATATTTATAGGAGAAGAAAATAGAAAGAAAAAGTGAAATTAGTTTTTTTATAAACTAAAATTAGTTTATACATTAGTTAATTTGTAGAAACCCTCTCATTAAATTTTTCAAAAATTTTTTTTTTGACTTACATATAAACTAATTTTAGTTTATAGAAAACCTTATTTAATTTTTTCTTCCTATTTTCTTCTTTTATAAGTGTGTTTAGAGAAATTTATCCAAACAAATCCTAAATCTCGGCCTCTTAAATCTATGGTACAAAGGAGAGTGTGATTGTTGGTCAATGAGAGGTTCATTTGTGAGATAAGGAGTTGATCCTATTCAATACTCTTTGTTTATTTAGCCCAAACATGTTCTATGGTATTACATGCAAAAAAAGGATTAAAATTGACTCGGTGAAAAGGGATATTTAAACTTTATCCCCTAAAGTTTTTGCACAAATCAACTTTAGTGCACAAACTATAAAATCCTAAATGAAAACAGTAGAACACAGAAAATTAGAAGAAAAACCTTCATTCCATTGGCACATTTTGGTCAAAAAAGCTAATCACAAGCATGGCAGAGGACCTCTACATCGTCAAGTTAAATTAGAATATTAACCAAAGTACATGTTTATGAAAATTAAAATGAAAAGTCTAAGGCTTTAAACTTGGTGTACTAAAATTAATTTGGACAAATAGTTAAGGTAAAATTAAGATGTAAAGTGTAAGGCTTTAATCTTTTACCAGACTCTGGAGTGTCCTCTAATTCAAATTTTCATAACAGACAAATAAAACCCTGTTTTCATCTCCTTAATTTTCTATGGCATGTCACTCAGTTAGGGGAGAATGAAAAGTTGGCTTACCACGTTCCCACACGAAGAATGCATTGAAATAAGAGCTCTTTCCAGAACATACAAATCAACAGCTTTATCTTCTGGTAGAGTTGAAGTGAAGCTCAATCCAAAATCAATAAGAACCTACACAAAATACACTTGACTTCTGTAACAGATATTGATAACATCTCTCATGGTGCATAACATGAATGGATATGCATTAAAAAAAACATGAATGGATAATTGGTTATTACAGGACCTAAGAAGACATGCATGAACTCACCAACTGCTTGGCGTCACTCTTCAGTAACATATTTGATGTTGTTAAATCACCGTGAACAAGACCACCATCATGTAATTTTCCAATTGCATCACCAATTTGGGATGCAATATTGTCCAGCCACTCTCTATCGCCACCACGTGACCCAAATTCGAGAAGTACATCTTTGACTGAAGGCCCCTCAACATATTCAAATGTTAAAGTGTGCAACACAGGATCCACAGCATAGAGCACAGGAGTGCGAACACCAAGTCTCCTTGCTTTGGTCATGCACCTTGCTTCCTGCTCCAAAAACCAATTCATGAAACAATATATTCAAGAAATGCAACGAAAAGCACTACTAAATAAATGCATAGAACTTCAGCTGGAAAAAAATAACACACTTTTTTTTCCTTCTTCTAAATCTGACCGCGTTTAAGCGCTTGAGGGTCAATTTTGAATCCAAAATTGGATGCCTGTACTTCTTCGAGAAACGTTCCTTGACAACAGATTTCCTTCCCACAAAAGAAGACTCAAAAACCCTCTACAAAAAGGAACATAAAAACGACATAAGTATTTGAAAAAACAAGATAAACCAGGCTCATTAGTGCAATTTCATAAAATAAAAAAAAAATAATAATCATCCAAATGGTGGGCAGAACAAGTATAAAAACAACAACAAAAGCCTTATCCCACTAGGCCAGGTTAGTTATGGAATCGCATAACACCATTTTTCTCGGTTAAAGACTAAATTCTCATAGATACTATTCACCATGATATTTTCTTAACAATTTTCTTATTGTTACCAAAGGGTTGAAGAAAAAAAAAATGAAATTTTAGTATTTTACAAGAAAAAAAAAATGAAACTTTACACAAAAGGGTAGAAACCAATTGCTACCAAAGGGGGTGATAGCACTTGCAAGGTGAGGGCACCAGTAAAACCAGAAAAAAAAAATTGAAACTTTAGTAAAGGGTAGGTGTTAATTGCTTCTACAAATCCAGGGTGTGATTAAACTTACAGCTTCAGCTCCTTGCTTGAGCAGAATGAGAGAACTATCTCTTGAGTCAGCTTCAGTCTCCATAGTACTGAACTTTTCTGGCAGTGAAATTCCTGGGGTTTAACCCTTTTCAGCAACAACAGTTATCTGCCCCCAAAAGAAAAAAGATTATAAAATGGAAGGAAAAAAAAAAGAAGTTGCTATTAATTCAAGTAAGAATTGGGGTTGAGCGAATTCAGTCATTTACAATTAATTCAAAAGTGAAGAGGTAACTTCAATTGAAATGGTTATCATCCAGTACTTGGCATCAATTGCAACCGGAAGTCAATTGCAGCCTCCACGAGTTCAGGAACAAAGCATATTCAAGTGAAGTAACACACTTTAGGGTAACGGAATTGAACAGACGAAACGACACGTTTTGCGGCAGTTTATATATATTTAATGTACAAAATCGAAGTCAAAAGAGAACCTGTTGGTTTCATTGAAAATAGTATTTTACAATGATTTGAAAATTCAACCAGTTATTCACATGCTCTAATCCCTGGTTAAAAGATTTATTAATACCAGTGACATTGTTACACTTTCTGTTTATTAAAATAAAAATAAAAAATAAAAAATAAAATAATACAAATATATTTGTTTAGTTGGTATTGTGATTTATTTTTTTAGTATCAAAGTTTAAGTTTTACGTTTTTTAAAAATATTTTTTTTAAAAAAATTAATAATAAAAAATATAATATTCTATCAAATATGAAAATTAAAATAATTGTTAAAAAAAATATTTTTTTATATATTAATATAAATTTATTAGTCTGATCGTGATTTTTTTTTCTTCTTATAATTGATACTAGCATAGAAAAAAACTTGTACTTTCATAAAAAATAAAATAAATTAGTTTTATTATTTTTAAAATGTAGATATCAAAAGAGAATATCTCCTTTATATATTATTAGTATTTGTATTTGTGGAATGTAATGTTTAATTAATTTTTTTATATAATAATAAAAAATAAGCTTAAATATGTTTAAACTATCTCGAATTAGCTCGATTTTTAGATTACTATTTTAAAAAAAAAATTGTTAAAATTACTTGACAATTTTTTTTTTTCAATTTAGTACCTAACGTTAGTTTCCTCTGATAAATGATGACGTGGCAAACAGACTACCACGTCATCACCCAACGGTGTCTGCCACGTCATCCAAGGGACTACCACGTGAAAATGGTGATGACGTGGCAAACACATTTGGGTGATGATGTGCTAGGGATCAACGTCAGGTATTAAATTGAAGAAAAAAAATTTAGTCAGGTATTTAAAATAAAAAATAATAAATTAATAGGTAGTAATCTGAAAATTGACCTAATTAGAAGTAGTAATTTGAAAAACTGACTTAATTGAAGGTAGTAATCTGAAAACCGACCTAATTGGAGGTAGTAATCTGAAAATTGTCACTGAAGGACAACCTATTTTGAGGCCACCATACTTCGATTGCATAAATTACATTGAGTGAAAGGAGTGTATGCGAATATTCATACAATCCATCGACTTCAAACTTTGGTTTATTATAAAAAATGGATCAAAAATTCCAACAAAGATAAAGGACAATGAAGAAGTGGAGAAAAGTGAAGATTAATAAGATGAAGAAGACATAAAACACCTGTAACTAGAAACAAAAGCAATAAATGTACATAAATTAGCTTCCCATTGATCATGTATAGAAACTATTACACTTGATTATAAAAAAAGAAAATTATGGAATTATATTAAAACTCAATATATATATATAATATATATGTGTGTAATATTTATATTTACTAATAATAAGTTTTTAAATAAAAATTTAATTTCAAATCTTATAAGTTTTACTTGTAAGATAGGAAAGTTAATGCCACAAATATTCACTTAACTTTTATAAATATTCACTTAACTTTTATATATATATATATATATATATATATATTTCATTTTGTATCTTTCACTTATATGGAAGTACTGAAAATTTATTTGCTAAGTCAAGTCTCCTCCAGACGGAATTCTAGCTACTTTCAGTGACAATTTTTAAATTACTACCTTCAATTAGGTCGGTTTTTAGATTACTACCTTCAATTAAGTCAATTTTTGCAGATTACTACTTATTAATTTATTATTTTTTGTTTTAAATACTTGACTATTTTTTTTCTTCAATTTAGTACTTGGTGTTGGTCCCCCTCTATCAAGTGATGACGTGGCAGACGGTCTGCCACATCATCACCATGTCCATGTGGCAGTCCCTTGGATGACGTGGCAGACACTGTTGGGTGATGACGTGGTAGTCCGTTTGCCACGTCATTATTTAACAGAAGAAACTAATGTCAGGTACTAAATTGAAAAAAAAAATTGTTAGGTAATTTTAACAAAAAAAAAAATTTAAAAAGTAGTAATATGAAAATCAAGCTAATTCGATATAGTTTAAACATATTTAAGCCTTATAAAATAAATGTATTTTTATTTATCTAAGTTTAAGTTTGAAAATTGTGTTGTATATATGTAAAATTTAATTTTTTTTTAGTAAAAATATGAAAGATTACAATGAGGATTGAACTTAAATCATCATGTTTTTAATTATCTCAATCATTCCCCACCCAATCACTAAGCTAATCATAGTGGTTATTTTCTCTAAATTAGAATATAAATAATTGTTTATGTAACATTGAAAAATTAATGCATATAATATTGACACTAATATATGTATTTATTGTAACTATTATAATTAATGTATATTGTTGATATTTACTTATTAATGTTAATTATATTAGAAAAAATGTTTAGTAAATATATTAGTTATAAGAAGAATGTTAGTATTAGGTTCTTTATCACATTATTTTAAACATATTTTTTTACTAGGTGAAATTTATTAAAATTACAAAATTTGATGAATTTCATATCTTACTTATTTAACGAATTTTTTTCCTAATTTTGTAATTTTTAATAAATTTTAAACAATAAAAATAAGTGTGTTAAAAAGTATGTTAGTAACACTTCTTTATATTCGAAATTATCAAATCTATATTTTAAAAAAATATAAATAACTAAAAAAAATTAAAAAAAAATTACACTTCATAGCATCGAATTCATGTATGACATCATAATAAGACTATGTTTACTATATTATTGTTATTTTGCTTAAAAGAATTGAGATTCAAATTTAAAGACATATTTTGTCGACTTGTATGACATCTTACATCGTAAAATGTAACATAATTTTTATGTTTCATTCTTCTATATCTCAACCTATATGATAATGAAAATATCATATTAATTTTATAATTAATTTTTTCATCAAATCAGTTTTATAAAATAAACAATGGAAATTTCATATTAATTGACTTTTCAACTTCTATTTGAAGGTATCCCTATTCAAATAAGCATAATAAAAAATTATTTATTTATAAAATATAAATCAAAAGCTAAGTTTAAATTAAAAATAAAACTTAAATAACAACATTTTTACATATATATATAT